GTATTAGACATGCATTTACGGTAATCAGTTCCCTTTACATCGATCCATTACGGTGGCGACAGGGTGCAGAATACCCCGCTTTGTTGTGTTTTCTCTTAGTTCCATTAACACCTCTCAGAAAATACTTGTGAAGACAGAATTGCCTCCATCATCAGGGCGATTACTCATCGCCCTGATGATGGGGGAAGCTAGGACCTCTGAAAAGTTGGTAGGCATCTACCAGACTACACGACTCTACAACCCAAAAGACATCCATCTCCTTTCTATACTCCAACAGCCCTTATTTCACTGTCAGAATAAATTCTGTGTTTCAGTGTCGGAATTAATTGCTGATCTTGGTTGAAGACGGAATGACAAAAGAACAAGATGGCTCCAAATAGTGCTGTTCCGTATTTGTTTCCTAAGCTCTTCCTGGTTGGTACTTTTATACAATATTGGTTTTGGAGTTACGAATGTTAATGTCGTTTTTCCACATTAATACAGTTTCTGTGAATCTCGTGTAATTTTAGTGATAACAGACTTTAAATAACAGCTTAAATACTGGTCTATAAATGAAGTGTATGCTCCATATACCAGATGTTAACTAAAGTTTAAGAAAGAGCTAATTTTGGTTTCTAGACTTATTCCCAAGATGAGAAGATCCCTGATCCGTGGAGAACTGCGCACTTGTTGCAGAAAAAGCGTCATTACATGGAAATAAAAAAACCGAGAATTGAACAAAAAAGTGTATTAATATGAATAATTGACTATAACGTGTATGGATATAGTACTATTGTTTTATAGTGACCGCAGTTTTGGCTGCGTAGGAAAGTTGAGAGAGAACATTCTCACAAATTTACCTCTCGTAGGTTTGTGTGGACCAAGATGGTTGATTAACTACGCACGAGAAAGGATTGGTGTGTGGTGTCATGTGATGAAACTAAGAAAATGTAAAACAAATATGTTGTTTTCCCCCAGACATATGACATACCGTGTCTCTGGAACTTGCCAAAAAGCCATCATAAAATAACAGGAGTGTTTCTTCAAATTAATGTTCAAATTAGATGTATTGGGGTTAAAAAATTCTACGTGCTAAGATGTTACTGCGAATTCTGTAAAACGCAAAACACCTGTGAAACAGAAAAATCTAAAAATCATTAAGATTTTTACTTTTAAATATTTGTCCTATATATCAGATTGTGTATTATTGTACTGTGCCATAATTACAAAGTTGTATTTTGGTGCAACTCTAAGCTACATTACCCTTCAAAACTAAAAGAAGTATTTCACCAGTTCAACTTCTGTCAACTCATTAGCGTGATGATGAATTCAATATATATCGTGACTAAATAAAAAAACTGGACTGCTGCAGATGTGATACAATGAAAAAGTCACGAAATTATAAATGTCGTACTGTGTCCAGGTAACCACACACACAATTTTGTCGCTGTTGTCACCAAAGATCGTATTATGTGAATAAGTTTATGTTGTGCGATAGTACCAGCTTTAAAAGGATAGCACTGTACCAAGCTATCTAAACATGTATTATGTATATTGTGTGTTAAAGTAATGTTTCTTATATTATATATAATGGTCACTAGTTGTCTGTATATGTTGCTATTTATCTTTTGTTTTAAATAAATATTTGTCTAGTTGTTAATTTCCTTGTCAATTCTGGTTTCCTGTATATTTACAAATGAAGGCCAGGTTACGTCATTAGGGTCCTGGTTTGAAGAAAAGTTCTTTAACTTAGTACGTAAGAAACAACATGTGAAATTTGAGATTTATACTGTAAAGGCGGTGTTGGTCTTCAGGGTTCTAACGACGTGTGGACTTGAAGGTGGATATTTCCTAACCTACAGTATTTTCCCCTCGCCTCACGAGCAAAGCTAATTACACTGTACCTCAGTATTTCAGATTAACAGTGTCGTCACATGGGGCGAAGAGATGGAAGACTACGCAGACGGTGGAAACCGGATTCTGAGGATGTCACAGGCATCAAGTCACTTAATTCATGATAAAGGACATTTTCACTGCAGTAAAATATGTGTAGCTAGAAAAGGGGAAATGTAGATGAGTGCAGAATGTTGGTTCGGAATCCTATAGGAAATCAATACCTTGAAAGAACACAAAAATATGGAAGGATGGAACTTAAATAAATGTGTTTCGAGAATGCGAACAGGATCGTGCTCAATGAATTACATTTGTTGCCAGGGAATCGGTTCATTTGCAGCGTTCTCCCATTGTCATAACGACGCACTTTCTTACTGCCAGGAAACGTTTCCATTAACACGAGCGTCGGAGCATTCGTTGCATATTCATATATAAAAATAATTTTAAGTCGAGACAAGATACGAAGCATAGCCGAATTAATATACTATCAATGTAAATGTTTGATTCTCATGAACATCCAGCTAGGGTAGGCACTGAAAGATGCTACAGCCACGTCGAGATGCTCGCAGGGTTTCAGAACGGGATAAGACTAGCTCTCGGGCTTAGGGCATTATTTGTTTCATGCCTGTGCATAGTAGCGTCTAACAAAATACATTTCGATCTATGTAGAAGAGGACAAATATTTACTCAGATACAATTCAAAAGGAGAATTCCGTAATAACTCCACGGCACATGATCCATTTTGACAGTCAGAGACTTGCGCGACTCTTTAATAGATCCCTGTTGCTACTGAATCCAATTTTCATCGCCGTCATAACGAAATCTGGCAGTCGTCCTTATGCTGAGCCAATCCAAATCTTCACAGCCTATATTATTAGTCCCCCATCTTCGCCGAGGTCCTTTGAATGGTCTTGTACCATGCAGATTTCGAGCCAAAATACTGCTTTTGTTTCTAGATTTAATCATCCTAACGATACCAATTGAAAAAAAAATTATTAATTATCCTGTTACACAGTTTTCTCTACTCTCCTGTTACTTCATTTCTCTCGGGTCCAAAATTCTCTTTCGACCCGATTTTTATATAAGAAATGTTACAAAATTTTCTATATACATACGCCTAAAGATTATGTATTTAAACAAACTTAACTACACTCGTTGTACAGCGTCAAAATGTAGGATTAATCTGAAACCCGAAATTATCCCAACATCTTCTCTGGACAAGACTGGGTATAGGCGATCTATGAGCCTAGAATGTGTCTCGGTACATCCAGAACACGAATTTCGATAAAACAATGGACTTCCAATTCATAAAATATGCTCTTAGCCACTGAATGCATTCCCTTCTGCTGTACTTTCGTGTATGTGATTTCATATCTGGGTTCAGCGTTTCACATGCACTTAGGATGCAAATACAATTAGGTCTCGGATCTACGTCGGAGCAGAATCAACGGTATTTCAAACCGTGTCTCCTGACTCGTACAAAATGACGCGTGTAATTTAGTCTGCTCGGAAGCAATTAGTTTATTTGCCCGTTTAACAACTACAGACTGTCATGCTGTCGATGGTGTGAGAGTCAGCGAATGCATGTCTGCACTGGGGTCATTGAACCTTACACCAGATTAACAACAAGAGAAAAGTGTACGCAGATGTACTACAATCAAATCTCACTAATTGGGACTCCATAATTCAAATTTCATCCTTTTTGTTTTATTTACGCGGAAATAAGGATTTTTTTTCCTAAACGAGAATTTAATGAGTTTCCCACTTCCTGTCCGCTTAGACAAGTTTTGAAATACACATACACAGGCTTAATACCTAATTTCTTCTACCTTATTTGAACTCTTTGTGTAATTTTGTCTTGGATACAAGCATTTTCATAAAAGTTTCTTTTTGTCATATTTATGTCCTAACGTCATCTAAGATAAGATGTTTCTGGATTGTAATAAAATTTGCTTTTTGAAGAACAACTTGAAAAATATTTTCTACAATTCGAAGTTTTTATTAATTCAGACTATTTCTTTCCCCTCTTAGTTGGAATTAGTAACGCTTAGATGTAGGCATATTTACTTCGTGCAAATAAAATGTTATGACGAAAGATCTCAGTAGTACCAGTCGTCGGTAAACTTCCTGTCATTACTTTAATGCTCTCCGTAAAACATAAACTGAAATTATAGTGGAGATACAATAACCGTTTCGCCTCCTACACTAATGGACAAGCGACAAAGTCTAATTTAAGTACGCATATTCCGATTAAATTTGGTACTACGGATCTATATCACGGATCACAGACATTTCAGACGTATATTTCATAGGAAAATCAAACGAATCTACCGAAAGAGAAGATGCAGATCGAAATAATTAGACTGCAATTGGGTTATCGCACCCGACATACCAACTTGATCAATACGAGATACCGGGAGTGTGTGAAAAATAATCGGGTAATTAAAGAAATAAACATTTAGAAACTCCTCATGAATATTCTGAATCTCTTTCGTGTCTACTTTACTGACCACGTCTGCCCTCTGATGAGGTTGTTTGCTTACAGACGAGTCATTTTATATAACCTGCCATGAGACACTGAAATTTTCCTTCACTAACATTTTAAAGTCTATTGGTAATCATATGCACCACCTACTTTAACAACTAATAATACTGCATTTTGTATGTATGTGTTTCGTATGAGTATACTGTAAACAGCGATTATTTCATTTAACTTAATTAACCTTCTAATCTTTGTAGAGATGTTTTGTTTTCTTAGAGGCAAGGGCTGAATTGTTAAATATAATTTAGACGAGCTTCAGTTTAAAAGGGTTAATTCGCGGAAGAACCGTCTCTTTGTCTAAAACGTACTTATGTCTGGATTAAAATGTTCGTTCTCCATCCAGTGACAGGCGTCATTCTACAGGACATAACGAGAAAAAACAAGTGAGCGAACGGTATTAAGCTGGACTTGTGAGTATTAACGGAGAACAAAGGAAAACAAGACACAATAGTACCGTTTAATTTTCATAATTAAAGAGAGCCATAAAAATCTGTGGACATGTTTTCAAAAGCTGTATGACATTTACATAAAATAAATGGACACAACTGAAACAAGAAAAATAGAGCAGTTTGAAACCAGTTCTCCCTGAAGTTGAACTCAGTTTGCGGCACATATTTTGGTATATAAATCTCTTCTTTTTTTTTATTCATGCAGCGAAAATGTTTTCGATTCCTTTCATCCCTATGAGACACAAGAAACAATTAGTGATAAAGAGATGAGCATTTATCACAAGATTACGAAGTGATAAACATTACTGCGATATTCGCTGATCTACTGTTCAAATATCCATGTGGAATAGATAAATGTTCACAATGAAGGCAGTCAATTGGAACAAAACTAGGTTCCCACAGAACAAAGCATTTGGTCAGATTACGGATTACAACAATTTTTCAGGTTACGTGAAGCATATCTGATGCAATATTGTAAAACAGCGTACTGATGTATTAGTGCAATCAATCCACGTACACATTTATTCGCCTTCATATCTATGATAATATTCACGTATCTATTTGTCATAACGGCCCCATATCAGATGCTGAATCATTCGTATTCTTTAAAACTAATAACATCGAGGACGACATTTCATAAGAGTATCAACATATTTACATAATCGGATATATTTGTTCTAACATATCATGCCAGAAGAATGTAACGCAGATGACGCTCTACACATACAACTACATTCGGGCGTATGAACACTAATAATTCTCATCTGTCAAACCAAATAAGCGTAAGAATTTATTCTCCTGTATGAGAGTAAATTTATTGATACGCCATTCTGCTATAACGCCCTCGATACCATCTCTGTGAGAATGAAACTCAATTATGTCGTCATTACACGTGCAACCGTGAATACAGAATTTAGAAAGCAGATTCAGACTGCAGCCTATCGAATCACCGATATCACCAAAATGTTGCACACCCAGACTATCATATATAAACTACAGTGAGATTATTTCGTGGCTTTTCTGTAGACACGGAACACCCAATCCACTATATTCGATAAGTGCTTGGTTTAAAGCATTTCCTAGTCGTAGCGGCACGTGAAATTTTGCTGATACAGTCATTTATACATTTGTAATAAAACCATTAGGCATAATGCAGTCCCAAGAGTTTCAGAAGAAAATACTACCTCCATCTTCAGTGCTTACTGGCATCTAATTTCAGTCCACACGTCACAATCAATGACACCTACTCCAGTCTGCTCTGATTTATCCACGTGTCTTGAGACATCACCCCGAGGCCACTGGCATACTTCCCATTCCTGGGGAGGGGAAGCTGGGTGCGGCTAGGGCGTACAAAACATTCCCACAACTCAACGCCGTCCAAAGACACCGTCAGCCACTCTAAAGTCTACCTCAAGTGTTTGAGGTATACTTCGCTTTAAACTCAACAAACCACTTTCGCTATTACTGAGAATCTCCCAGTGCTCCAAGCCGGTGGGAGACGATACTGAAAGAAATTACTCTGGTTGGTTAATGGATTTACAGAAGACTCAAGTGCATCAGTTATACTTGACAACTGACACACTGAATAAGTTGGTGTGGCCGCCATGTTAGTGGTAGGGATGGAACGAAATTAAAAAAAAATGCGAGTTTAGGGGCAACTTCTAATGGAAAAATGTCCATACCAAATCTGAACAGGGACATCAGTTGGGGTCAGGCTGTTCCCGGAATGAAATTACGAATCAGACCGATTGAAAAGTAGGAGTGATAACCACTACATTACGACATTTCGTTGCAAAATTAAGGCCAAATTTATTTTTGAAAATTTATCAGGACCAGGAAATGTTTTACACTCACGTAGCTATAAACAAGTGAACGTTCACTATATTCACGACATCGGAATTCTATTATAATCCTGTCCGTGTACGTCTTGTTTTGACTGTCTTTTTAAATTCATTTTATATTTAAACTTAATTTGTGCCAACTGCCTACGCAGAGGAAAAGGAAAGCCGTCATCTGTGCATCAAGACTAATTGTACGTCTACTGTCACAAGGGAACACAGTCTGAAGTACGCATGCTAATGCCAACTCGAAGAATTGTTTTTTTTTCCCTGTACCACAAGGTAGGCACGTCGCTCATAGAATTTTAATGACAAAAGGAGAGTTGGCATTAGCTGAAAATATTTCTAACGCCTATTTTATTTTTCATTATAATGACAGTCGTTCTGCATAATTCAGTTTTTCCTTTCATTTTAAAGATAAACCCCACCAACAGCAACGAAGAATGTAACACACTTTTAACAGTAGAGCAGTGAAAATCAGAATTTGTTATAATTTATCGTTTAACAATAATTTTAATAAAATTTACTGTCACGAATATAATTACCCACTCAACACGTTCTTATACTTCAGAGTCATGCATTTGACTCACTAACCAGTTATATTCTCTAAGTGATAGACTCTTGCTATATTTACCAACTCTTTATCAATCAATAAATCAAGATGAAAAATAGTGTTTACTAATTTATTTCCTCGCGGAAGTGAGTTTCGTGGAATTCGGTGGTTTTTCAAATGACCTATTCATAGACAAAAAAAAATCGACTAGAACAGCTGGTAAGCTAGGATAGATTTAAACCGGCTACGTCTCGAACAGAAATGTATAGGTTTACAGCTATACCAGTATGATCGACGTAATAGAATTGCAGAAAACGTGACCATAATTTGTCTCGTTGATTGAGCTAAATTACCCAAATGAGTTTGTGCTATTATTATCCTACTATTATCGAAACTGTGTCGTACTTGGAATCCAGTTTCACAGAAATGCCATTAAAACCGACGAACAAAGATTACGTGTTGGTGTTAACGTACTGTAACTATGTCGATTTTATAAATGTCACTCCTATTCAATTAGTTAACTTTTAACACGTCTGGGCAACACTTCACACATTTCGTGGAAAAGATTTAATGTGTTCTTGAAATGTTTACCTGAACACAATATTAGCTCAACAGCTTGTAATAACTCTCCATTGAGTTCATCTATGCATTTTAACACGTGAATAATCTTAATCAACATGCATATCCACCATCAAGTAGATTACGTTTAGGAAAGTGGGTTAGTTGATTCGTGGAAGTCTACATCCTACAAGAAGTTTTCAAAAGCGCCCAACTAACATATTCACCCTGAAGATAGTAACTACAGTGTCTGTCGAAAGTTTGGATAACATTCAACATTTGCCACGGCTCATCTCCGAAAGACGAAATTTTACATTCTCTAGGATTTTTTTTCGAACGCGCGTTCGTTCGAAAATACACGGTACCATTGCAGTTACGAGATCGGATTACCTTGCAGCAACCTCCTTCGGTGAGGGAAAATAAATGTACTGTCTCGTCTGTTACTTGACAGACAACAGGCAAATGGACGAGCGAGCATTCATTCACGGGTCAGATCCTGAGGGCGTAGTTCATTATTCTTCGTACCGCTACTCCGCTGCTCCTTGCATTTCCTGTCCGGTCTAACGTTCCTATTATCACTAAAACGAGGGTTTCGCTTCGCTGACATAAAATTAATTAATACTCACGACATTGTAATCCCACAGAGAGATGAAACAGTGTCACAACCATAGGCGCCGATAAACTCTGGAATCTAACCTGAACTGCTGTTACTAAAAGACTCAATACCTTCATATTTGATGACGGAGGCAGTATGACCTCTGAAACGTTGGTTAACATCGACCAGACTACACAGCGCAACAACCCAGAAGACAGAAATCTTCATGCTCACCGCTATGAAAACCTCAAATCATACAATAAAATATTTCCTTCGCCATTACAAAATATATCACCTATTCCTCCAGTAGTCCAGGTCTATTTGTTTCTGGAATACCTACACGTATATCATTAAAAAATTCCGTTCGTCAAAATATAGCATTTTAACTGCTAGATTTCGTAGCATACCAGACTCTATTGTCCATTCACGAACACAAGACAGTGTGCGTAAAGACAAGTACGTAAAACATCCTGAAGCTAACGTCTACTACATAAATTCTATCATTCCTTTTATCAATGGAGTCTCAACTTCCACCTATCTACAGCCTAGGGCGATCTCCTATACTAAGAGACCCAGGGGTAAGTACAGCACAGGCATGCGAAAAGGGTAGTGCCGTACAAATAGACACGCCGATAGAGACAAACAAGGACGCAGCTTTAATCATCGACAACATCCCGCAAATAAGTTATCAAAGGCGCTTAGGGTGATGTCATAGGCTCTATGGAACTGTCTACAGCAGTGGTACTCAACATTTTTTGTTCGTGTACCCCCATATATAATTTCTCTTCAACTTTGTACCCCCAAACTTGTTGGTGTATAATTCAAGTTATATATAGTATATAATCTACATCTAAAATAAATTAAATAAATTACATTACTCATTATTCAGTGTTTATCATAAAATAATATATTTTTTTAAATTTCACGTACCCCCTAAGATGTCTTCGCGTCCCCCAGGTTGAATTCCACTGGTCTACAGTATTAAAATAAACAGCATCCATTCAAGTACCTCATTATTTTGTAAGCACACATGTAACAATATCATTACACGAAAGCCGATTATAAATATGTACAACAGTGGTTCCCAACCCGGCACAAGGTGCGATCAATTGTTTCTTATAGGTTCTTGGGACACACTCACTTTCAATCCGACACCGCCAATTCCAGCAATTATCGTGTTTCGGACCGCTGGAGTGTAGTTTCCGATCTAGTTCCAAAACTTTGACGTCACCAAGTTTATCCCTGGAGTGTCAACTAGGTTTTTCAAGCGGGATAAGTTATATGGGGCTGGATCCGGGGATAACAAAGGGTGGAGGACAACAGTCGCGGGGACTATGCCCAGGGTCTTATACACACAAAGAGAATGGCCAGGAACTTTGTTGAGGTGGAGAAACCAATATCCCGGGGGTCATTTTCTAAACATTTTTGAGGCAGATCTTCCTGCAGATATATAATAATATTTTTATAAAATACTGATTAATAGTTTATATATGTACAGCAAAAGGGAGATAAGTGCATATTTTGAATTAACAACAAATAATTCAGTTGATCCTATTTTACAATCATGTATACGTCATTCAGCTATGTATGGAGCACATGTAAACAAATACTAGGCAAAAAGCGTGTATATTTAAACTTGATACTATGTTAGTGTCACCTTGCAGCTAGTCTGGAAAAGCTTTTATCACATATAGTACGGGAAAACCATTTTCAAAAAGATTTCTCGCCATACGGTACGTAAATTCTATTCGACATAACAAACAACACTGAATGAGATACGACAGATCGATCTACATGGACACATCCGTTTTCATCAGCACAGTATAAGGTTTCAGAGAGCTGCGGTGGGTATCAACGCTGTCTTTAATAAGTTTATAGGTTCTGACAGAATTTGACGTAACAAACTTTATCATACCTCCTAATGCCCATCACTGTCACGCTCTGAGTCGAGAAAAATTATATTACCTACTGAATTACTGGAAGGTTATAACAGTACCTTGGTTCTTCCTGATCGGTGGGTCGAACGATCATCAGCTCAGTTGTTTCGCACGGCTGTAAAACCATCACACACTCTGCAAAGCAATGACAGGTTTTCAGATACATAATTAATTGCAAAGTAAAATGGATGGTAAATAATTCGGCTCATTATCCAGAGATTGTGTATTTTCGTAAGGGAAAACATCATTAAGACGGATTCCATATTTGTACACTTCGTAAATGTTAGAAGGATGAAATATTAAAAATATCAAATTAATACGATATGACGGCGTGTACCGTCTGTCTCAGAGCAGGAATCAGTTGCGGGCTCTTGTGAACACAGTATTGAATCGTCGGTTCCACAAACGTCAGAAAATATCTTGGCCAGATCAACTACATTTAGGGCCATGTTGTAAAATGTAGTACGTTAAAGACAGTTTTAGAAGTTTTACAACATTATATGAAATATTATCACAACCGAATACCACAAAGGAACTACATTTGTGAAAATTACACATAGTTAGCCGCAAGTCCCCGAAATTTCCACGAACTGCAAAATGTGAACACAAGAAGACGTTTGAAATTAATTTTCTTGAAGGCAAATGTAGGTGTAATTCAAACTGTATTTTACGAGTAAACTCAAATTCACGGTAAGTTTCTGTAGTTTTCAGAGTAAGCTGTAACTTTCTGGCGTGCGTTCAATAATTCGACTGAATTTTACGGGACAAGGCAATTACCAAGAGCCCCCAGTGATCTCATTACTATAGCGTGTATAAAAATGTCAGTCTATCCTCCAGTTGCTGTATCTTAGCTTGCATTTACACTCGTGAGCAGTTATTACGTAATAAACAAGACTAGAAACGCATTTTAAAATTACTTTCTTTTCTATTTTGCAGATACGAAACCACACAGATATAAACACACAGCAACATTTTTTTTTTCGGTAAATACGCAATGCATCCACAGTTCAAGAAGTCATGTCAACTGTCTGAATAATTCTTCTTTCAGAAGAAATTAGACTAATTGTCTTTTTATTAAAAAGGTCGATAATTATCAAATTAACATAAAAATTTTCGAAAAATCAAAAAATGCTGGAAATTGTCTAAAAAGCGCACAAAACATAATTTTTTTGAAAAATTTCACGTCCAAAAATTTTCTCAAAAATTTCAAAAAAATTTGGTTTTGTGCACATTTCAGACAATTTCCAGCATCTTTTGATTATTTGAAAATTTTGAAAATTTTTACCTTTTTTTCAAAAACTCTCTCCAAGAGATGTATTAAATTTTCTTGTGAAGCTTTAAGTCAATATTGTCGAATCTTAATAGACATTACAGTGGTCTGAAAAATTTAATACCGACTCTGGCCATCACCTTCGTTCACAGAAGCTCGTTCTGAATTCAGAAATGAAACTGACGTTTCTATCTAAAAATGTGCATTTTACATTAAGCAACGACCAGGAGGGAAACTAAATATTTGCAGATCCGACTTTAACTGCTCAAATCCCATGATAACCTTAAGTAGTCTTGGAAAATCATAGCAGCAGTTACTCGGTTATAACCATAAAAATTACAATATTTGATTTTCGAATATGAAAATATTCCGGTCACGTCAAAAAGTGAAGTAGGGCTTATGGCCCCTGCATAGAAGCGTCAAACGTCCATATCTGTGAACGCCATTGTAAATCAATATATAGGGGCTTAAATCCACCAAACAAATTTGCTCGGTCCCTCTCTCTAGCCAGGCGTCGCTTCATTTAATTTCGCGTTGCTGAAAAAGCTGTTAATCGTTGCACCGACATCACCTGCTAAACGCTATAGTTATTCGTTTGTTTTATACAAGAGCGCCTTGTTAGGACATTTCATTCACATAACCACCTCCGTCTTTACGAAAAACACAGGGGGACATGTCTGTTCGGTAGCGTCCTTCACCACTGGATCACCTCATTGCCCTCAGTGGTGTTTTACCAGAAGAGGCAGACACCGTCTCCGAAACGTCGTTAATCGAAATTTTTCAATTTTAAGACTTATATAATGAGCGTTATGAATCTCTCGGATTCATGAAATAAAAGAGACTTCGATGATTGTTAATGTCAGTGATTATCTGCAAGAAAATTAATATAATTTCGAAGAAATTAAACTTCCAACCTCTGACCCACCTTCGTGGCAATTTTAAGAGTCGCTTTTCTCTGAAATAATAAATCCGAAATCCAACTGCAGTTGTAGTCGGCTGCAAACTTTTTTATTTTTATTTCTTTAGTGTTCTGTCTGACGACAGGTCCATCTGAACAGGATCCTTCCATCCTTTTTCTCGGACTGGGACCTGTTCATATACGTTCTTGGCAGATGATCCAGAAGTGGTTTGCCATTGCCTTCTTCTGTGTGTGAATGGAGTAATTGTTGGGATGACACGGAGGAAAACTCCGTGTTGCCTAGACCACGGCCTTGCCCAACACAAGTTATAAATTCGGGCACCGCCGGGAATCGAACCCGAGACCCTAGGATTACAAGGCCAGCGTTCTATCCGCTAGACCACCGTGGCTATCACTTCATCTGTAAGAGCAATTAATTTCCCGGTAATCGAAAATAATTTGTCGGTTCATGATTGTCGACGAAGAAAGAAAACACGTTTGAATAAGATCTCTTCGCTTGACGTCAATCGCAAACAAGCGAGACAGAATTATTGACGATCTCAAAAATGAAGCTAGTAAATTAGTAATCAGTCAAGTGAAACTGATTTTAAACAGCATAAAAGAAACACTTCATTGTGATGATGAAAACCACTTGTCGATAAAACCCCCGAAGACAGAACAGAGCAATTCCTAGGTAAACGCAAAAAAACCAATCTGTTAAAATATCATTACTCATATTAAACTGGTTTTAATTCCGACGAATGATTTACTGGGTAAAGCACGCGGTCGTACAGCCAGGCAGACCAGACAGACATGATCTCCCGGCATTTCGTGTAAATAAAGTACAGAATTCTCTGTATCGATAAAGCTTTGTTATATTTACGATTGTCCATATTACTTTACTGACTGAAACATGTGGATGATTTTTTTACGTACGTTGAACCTAACATGACTATAGTCTAATTCCACTACTGCCAGTAGCTACTACATAAGAAACAAGATAACTACGATGGCACGTTTATCTGAATACCAGATTATTTTCTAATAAAATATTCAATAAATGCCAATTTAAATTAACAATTATTTTGTGTCTTTGTTGGTAATGTACCGAACGTCTCATTCCAGTGATTAGAATTTATTTGTCAAGGCCAAAGGTTAATTCTCAGCCCAAAGGCCGGTTACCCTGGCTTAGGCTTTACGTGGTTTTCCTAATTTCTGTAGGCAAATGTTGGAACGCAAATTAAAAACTGTAACGACTGGTTTTTTTTCCTAATCTTGTCCAATTCATTACTCGCACGTTACGTACATTTATAAACAAATGTTAACAACAGACCAAATATGTAGGTCATATTGGAGAGAAATACTACTTATGGGTGCCCAATATGAGATGGATAATATTACAGAATTATCTCAGGTTCTTTCTCTTTAAAGTTTGGTTCCATTATTATTTTTCGTGACCAAAGTGTTTGGGAAACTAACATACATCATCCTATGTCGCCATAGAATTGTCTCCTATCAACGGAAATATTTCAGTGGGAATCACAACGAGTGTTTTGAAGTTCTCGGTAAAGTATTATGTAAAGACAATAATATGGTATTAAGTATTCGTACAACTCGTCTGGTAACAGTGCTAATTCCAAGATGTCTGACTGGAATATGCAGTCAAGACAAGCGGAAATTAAACGTATAATTACTAAGCGGTTTCCAGATGATTACAAAATTAATAAAATTCCCATTAAAATAATTATACTGATAAGTATAAAAACGGCAAATTTGTCTCACCTAACTTTATAGAGCAGAGTACTTGTTGAGAAAATAAGTCACTGAGTTGACTTAAATTCTCAGCTTTATATGGACTTTTTCATACTCCAAAGTCTACCAGCAGTCTATACCCTAATAAACTGAATCCAGCCTAAACCCTCTGACCCCATTTAACCAAAACCCATTTTAATATTATCTTCCCATCTACGAATATATTGCCCAAACTGTTATAATACATAATTACATTTTTGTTTTAATATGAATATTAGTGAGGGCTGTGCCTGATAATGTGCCAAAAAGAGAAAAAATGTTATATGGAAAACTGGCATTCAGCCTTAACACTGAATATTTTGGTATCAGAACAAAAATTAATATGAAACAAATATCTATTCATTTCTCCTGGCTTCCAGTAACAGATTTATCTTGTGAATATGATCCTGTATCTTAAAGTTCCTGAAATACCTGATATGTTCTATTACTATAAATTCAAATACTGTTACAAAAACATCATAAATTTCTAATATAATTACATTGGAAAACAATTTTTATAACTTCACCATATCAGGCACCATAAGTTAGGAGTCTCATGAGATGTCTGTCTTGTTACTTTCAGACCTACCAACTTATTTTGTACTGTTGTCAACAATAATAAATTGTTAAATTTAAAAGTGTTAGGTAACAAACACTGGAATTGCTTACCAGCATTATACACCGTATCTTCACACCTATTAAAATGTTGGGTCTCTATAGGCCTATACCCATTAATGTCACCTATTCACTCACTCGCACGCACGCGCACATACACACACTCAATCATTCTCAGAAACTGCTTTTTGCGAGGGCAAGTAACTCCACTTATCTCAAAATTTGTAACCCTGTCCTTCAGAGCTTACAGGTTTAAGTTCAAGAGGCTTTGAAGTTGATGTACTGCGTAGTCTGATAGAAATTTACCAGTGACTCAGAGATGCTTCACCTTCATCTTTAGGAATCACCCTAATAACTGAAGTAGCAAGCACCTCTGAAACATCAGTAACTTTTACTGGACTATATTGTGCGGCATCCCAGAAAACAGTCATCCTCATATTCTCTACCATAATACACGTTGTTCTAGCGGTAATACATTTCACCTGCACTGTAACAGAAAGCTCGTCTAAATCGAACTCCAATGAACACTTGCTATTTTAAGTATGTCGTGATTTTTCTCAGCCTAGTCATCCTCAACCACACCGAATGCTGCGTTACAGAAAGCGTTCCTGATTCAAATTAACTTGATTCCGGTGAAAATCTCGATCACACAACCTTGTTCCCTTAATTAGGTTTCCCGTAGTTTTCCTCTTACCTTGAATTTTAATTCCGTAGTTTGTATTAACCACGATCAATTTTCACCAGTTCATCCGCAATCTTCAATTAACACAACATGGCTACTCGTTAATTTATGAAGTGGTTAGGTTATCACACAATTTTCAGCAATGGATTCAAAAATGTCCATTGCCATTAAGTAACTTGATCACAATAGTTCCTAACCTTAAAATTTAATACGCGGGCTTACGTAATTCGTCGATTGTAACACTAGATTCAAGTAAATTATCATATTTCAATGAACCAAATAATAGAAACATTGTAGTCGGCTTAAATAAATATGTGATTATAATTTCTAATTTGTTTCCACAGAATACACAAATCAAAGTCGAACTGAAGTTTTAATCAAATCTGTATCACCTGTCACTCGTCCAAGGAGTCCTACCAACTGTCAATAGATCAAAGCCAACGAAAAGTTGGGACCCGCAGTGCTCTGGCACTTGAAGAACGGGTCGTCGAAGTATCAAAGCAAGTATCACCTATCGTCGAAACAATTATTCATTAACGCTTCCAACAGCCATCAGCAAAGCAACCGGTTTACTGAAAATCAAATCATCAATCAACAGAATGAGAAATTCAATTTATATCGATAATTTAAGTCGCCCAAGGACACAAGCCAACACACGATCTACTATGACATTGCCATCTAATGATTAATCAATGAAGTTAATTTTCCTGATCTTAGTCTTGTATCCCCCTCCCCCAAATTTTATACGTGTCGATGGGAGAAAAAGTCTTCAGTTTTCACTTTATGATTTCTTGCTGGCTAGATGTCTTCTACTATATGGCTTAAACCATCTTCTTTTGGGTCAAACATAATGAGATTTCAGAATACAAAACTCTCTTCATTTAGAACTAGAATTTTTCAAGAATAACAAAAGAACTGTATTAAGTGTCCTTCAATCAAATTATCATTTCTGTACAATACATTGTTAAGTTATGCTAATTTGTCATATACTGCAACAAACATTTTGATCTAAAATATATATTCAATGTTTGTTTTATATACAGTTAATTTATGTAACATATTAATGGTACATTAATTGCATGTATTAATAAAAAAGTATCAAGTTGGTATGTGAATATTACAGAATATTCACTTTCTGTAAATGAGAAAATCATCAGCTAGAAATTCATGTTGAAAATTAGGAAATGTGTTTATTTTATGGGGACATAGCCTGTCACTAAACTGACTGACCTACCTGGCTCATCTAGCAATAAAACAGTTCTGCACAAATATAAAACACTGTAACATCAATTTTCCTTTTTCTGTTTTGATAAACTTTAAAGAAAAATATATATAGAAAAGAAATTTTTAAAAACAAATTGAGATTTAAATTTTTAAAAATATGTGTACAGAAATACAATATTACATGGGTATCTGAATTCACACAATTGGATCATTAATGGGCAACATCCATCTAGTCAATAGTGACAAAGAATTAAAGGTTTAAAGGATCTTTCATAATATTAAAAATTCACCAAACTGAAAAATGTTTAAATAAAACTATAGAACTTGATAAGATGTGTTTTTAAAGTCAAGTAATTTCTCCTATACAGTGAAACATTTCTGAGAAATATGATATAAATTTGAGTGTGAAGAATACCTTCATGAAAGATTCATACAAATATTATACTTCCATTCTGTATCACATTCTATTTGAAGAAAATACTTTCAAACAACTGGTGTTTAGCTTAAAAGCATTCTTTGCATTATCATATAAGTGTGCACAATTGTAAATCTGTCACATACTCTACAGTACTTACGACAAAATCTTCTCAGGTGATCAGCTACTTCTGCTCTCAAATGATACAGGTGATTGCCTAAAATTTGATAACTTTTAGTTGCTATGAAATTTTTGAGTCTTGCTTTATTCACTTATTTACATTAAATTGGCTATGTTGTTTCTGAAATGTGATATATACAACTTTTGACATTTTAGTGAAACAATCAAAGGGCTTGAAACATGTGCTGTGGCTAAAGATTGTTACATAAACTGAGGTTCCAATAAATGTGAAATAAGAAAAGTTACTGTTTTTACTGAAATAAAACATTTAAACTATAATATGAGGTGCCTGAACCATAGAGATCTCACATTTCTTCAAAACAATCTTCAATTATCAACCAGGAACTAGAAGTACAACAACTCCATGAAAAGTCTCATCCACAAATGTATTATGGCACAATCTGAAAGACCAAACAATGTTAGCAAATGTATATTTGTCACAAACAACATTGATAGTTCTTTTTCCTGGACAAAAAAAGTAGGCTCTGGATGACTGAATTTAATGGAAGTTTGTTTGAATGACATAATCAAAAATGATAATATAGAAACTCTGCTTTCTGTAATGATTTGAAAATTCAATTATAAGGAAATTCATGCTACTGTTTCTGAAAAAAACATAATTCTTATGCAACTAAATTTAATCTGAAAAAACCTTCATTTTTATGTCATCCTTGGCATTTCACAAGGGGGAGGGGTCAATCCTTAAACCTTCTTTCTCAATATGGCCATGATATTCTTATGGTCAACAGATCTTTTACTGCATATTCAAATTATCAAAAAATGTGATTAGAAACAGGAATTATTATAAAAATGCCTCACACCCTTCTTCATGAAAGGTCCTATTAGACAATTCACTTCTACAGAAACAAACATTTCAGATCACTTACTTTTACAGAAAGGTAAAACAATACAAAATATTTACTAGAACAATAAAAAGAGCAAAACCACTTTAACATATTCATTAGATAATGACAATAATTCCAAGTTACAGTTATTTAAACACATGTGTGTCTATAAACAGTAATTTCTACCATGACCTTTATTTTATGCATAAATTACACAATTACTTGACTGTATTATCATTAAACACTTTCCTCACACATACACAGAAAAGGAATAGATTAATAACCAAGTTACAATACCATAAAATACAAAACCTGACAATTTATCCTCAATACATTTTATTTTTACTCAGCATTGTTTACATTAGTTAATATTCTCGACTGTGTACACATGATGTGTGTCTGAATGTGTGTCAAAGCTGGTTTGATAACATCATCTTAGAGAAATAATATTTCTATGGAACTGATAGTGGTACCAGTGTTACAGAGCTGACACAATAAGAGCCCAAAACTATTATTAGTTCCTGGTGCGGTGCCTCAGAACTTCCCCTCAATAAACTATGAGTAACATTACTCAAATCAATTTTCCTGCAACTACTCTTCACTGTTAATAAGAAATCATCAACATACAGATGTCACACAGCCTATAAACATAATCAAGAGAAAAATATGCAATTCTACATCAAATTTGGCACACACATACACATAGTCTATGCTGAACCTTCGCTATATATGTACATTCAGTTCAGTTCTAGTCCACTGATTTAATAGCAGGGAGTCAAACAAATTTCTAAAATAAACTTGAGATTCAGTTAGCCATTATTCATAAATCATACTTGAGATACAGTAAAAATGTACTACACTAAAGGCATTAATCATTGCCACTCAAGTCCTTATAACTGCTTTAGCAGTTCTGCCCTACCCTTTCCTGCATGATAAAAGTTGGATTATATACTCCCAGCATAATTTTGAGAAGTAAAAAATTGACTGTAATTTTTATCACAGAATAATGCAACAGAATCTGAAAACTAATTAGAAATGCAATTCTAGAAAAAAGTGCTGAAGGCAATCAACAAAAGAAAAGTTGTAAATTTAAAGCAGGAAAAATATGTTTAATCTGTCTTACTCTACACGAAGGTCATACAAAACACTTGCAATTTACATAAATAAAGTTTTACTGTACTCAGTTTTCAAAGGTAAATGAATAATTTTACTAAATTATAACTCAATGTATACAAACTAATATGAATCTGATAAACAAAATAACCAACCCTCCAATTTTACTCAAATGTTGAAGGCACAAACAGAAAACACACACACAAAAGTGTCAAGTAAAACAAATTACTTGCCAAATAAATCATAAATTTGTGATATTTCATCATTCTCATAGTGGTGAGTATGGTGACTTCTGGAATGTTGCTCTGAGTAGTCTTGTAGAAACTGACCAGTGCTTCAGAGGTGCTTACTGCCCCCATCATCACTATGATGACACAGGAGTAAAACATCTCTGAAATGTCAGTAAATTTCCAATAGACTACATGGCACAAAATCCAGGAAGACACACATCTTCAAATTACAAATTTAATTCCTGGAAATGTAGTTTTTATTATCTGGACCCATACAACACAAAATTATTGAAATATATGACACACAATACAGTGCCTAAATGTAACATATGGCATTCGAGCAGTATAGGAACTTAATAAAAAATCTAACAAGTTAGACTCCCTGCCGTACAGAAAATAAAAGAAAGACTATACAAAACAAATCTCAGCACTGTACTAGCACATACTGAACTCTTATGCATGATCTCAATGTTTCAGTCTATTTATTTTGGTGTCATATGAAGGTGGTTTTACACAGAGAAACTGAGGTAGTATAAATGGTATATGAAACTGACTGAAGATTGCTGTTACCCCAGTGACTATTTCCAATTTGGAAGGCCATGACTAGTACTGCATAAGTTCCAATATAATGTTCTAACCACAAACAACCATGGAGTTACTAAAGGGGTAACTCTAAAAAATGAGTGACTTAAATGGCAGTAGATACAAATGATTTGCTTCTAAAATCATATTACTCATATAAACCGCATCACGTAATGCACACTTAATGGCACATAACTTTCAGCTATTATCATATGGTTCATCAAACAAACAATAATTCTACAACTCTTATCTCTCTCATTTCAAGACAGAAAGCAACAATTCTCAAAAAACACAACACCCCCCCCCCCCCCCCCTCATAATAATCAGACACACACATCTTTATTTTGGTCTCTGCCCACATAAATGAACACACCTCAAATAAGTTCATTCTGTTTGGTCAAGAGAACTAAAGTAAACCTTTGTAACTAGTAGAACTGTTTATTTTTCCCCAATAACTTCTTTTACTGTAGAAAAATTATCAAAAGTTCCATAAATGCTAATGCAACAAATTCTGTTCTAAATAACATTTCAACAAAACTTTTTTTTCTTCACATAACTCCGCTGTTAAAACTGTAAAATAAAGCATGGCATAAGGATATATGTACAAGAAATTCCAAACAGAAATCCTCAAGAATTAGCTTTTACCGGAAGATGAAGACATCAGGAATTAACACCAACATGAACTATTAAGTGTTTTTAAGCTCAGTTCTATGGAAGCTATATTAGTAGTAATGAAGACCTAAAAATTAACAAAGAACAAAATAAATATCAGAAGAAGTAACGTTAAAAGTGTTTCCATACTATTTTAAAAACAATTTAAATAAATACAGGCACGGCCCAAAAGTTCTTCAAGTGATCAAAGTTTTCTGCTCATTGTATCCATGAATCTTTCACATAAGTCCCTCTCATACACAAAAGAATTCTCAAAATGACCCTCTTTTTCATATTCAATATATAATTAAATAAAACAAAAACTTTGCCTGTTGTTTTGTATGGGTGTGAAACATGTTCTCTCACTGTGGGAGGAACATAGATTGCAGGTGTTTGAGAATAGGGTG